ACCTGTGTGGTGAACCATTCCTCCACCTCCCTGCGGTTGGTCTCCACCAGGGCCTCGTACTGACACCTGGTCTCGTTCAGCACCCTGTTGAGGTCCACGGTGGGAGCGGCGTCCACCTCCACATTGAGGCGGTCTCCCAGCTGGCAGCGCAGGGTGTTGACTTCCTGCAGAGCGAAGGGAAAAGCTCAAAATATCAAAAGAAAAAATTCTTGATGCTCTCCTTTTCTCCTTAAGATAATGAAATTCAACTTGTGATGATTCCTCAGCTTTCAACAAGCTCCGTTTCCTCCCCTCCCATCAGTGGTCAGATTCTGTATTCAGTGACTATCCCTGTACTTCACAAGTACATGAGTCCTCCTTCTGACTTTCATATTCCATGTATTTCTTCTTTAGAGAGAGGTGGTGATTTGTTGTCAACGCTAAGACATGGTTAATCGTGATTTCATGATTTTTTTTTTTTTTTGGCCAGGATATCTTATGGCATCTTAGGTTTGATTCATAAGCAGAGGAAATAAGAACGTTGGAGGCAACCTAAATGATGCTCTTGCTAGATCCTGTGAATTAACTACAAGTCCCCCAACTTTGTATCTGTACCCTTTATATCTGTACTCCTCTCAGGCAGCAATCACCCCAGACTTCAGGAAAGAGAAAAATCACTGATAAACATCTTGTGTGGAAAAAATTAAAAAAAAACAACAACAAATATCTTGTGTGGAAGGCAAACTACCTCTCCAGCAGCCAATGCCTTCTTCTTATAATAATCTTAAAGGAAACAGACAAAAGCTTTAGATCACCTGCCAAGCAACTCATTCCTGTTCACATTCCAAAGGTAAAGTGATAACAAGGACAGAGATGGAGCTAAATGGTAAAACAGGCCACGCCTGTAACTTGAGACTCCTAACTGTGAAGACTTTCTTCACCCTCAGCTCCCAATGCTCCCTATTTAACCTGAAGCTACCTTCTGTATCCCTGAAGACACAACACAGAGTTAGCTATTGAGGTGTTGGTGCTGCCAGGTTATAGAACTTCCTAAGGGAAATAAATACCTGTTCATTTCACAGCTAATCTGTCTGCGGAGCCAGAATCGCTTAGTACTTGGATTAGTGCATGAAGCAGATTTGAACTATACCCCATCTCTACTACTCAACAGAGTTTCTAGGACTTTCAGGAATCTTTGATTTCCTCATCTTAACATGAGACCTTCCTCTGGAGCTCCAAAGCACTTTAGCGCAATGTTGGGTCAATAAGGAAGCATTGTGTTGGCCTGGGAGGTAGTTCAAGTGGTAGAGCAGCTGCTTAGCCAGTAGGAGCTACGCCCTGAGTACAAATCCTAGTACCACCAGAAAAAAAAAAAAAAGACAGCATTGTATTCATATTAATTGTTATTATGTGCCTGGTTCTGGGATTGAAGATTTGTAAATACCTCCTTTATGCAAAGACCAACCTAGTATTGGGGTGCATTTTCCTCCACATTTCTATTTTCTGAGTAGCAGAAAGGGCTCTAGATAGGAACTAGGATGGATGCATTTTATGTCTAGCTCAGCCCTCTTGCTAAGTAGCCCTAGGCCATCTTATCCTCTCCAGTTACAAAACAGAGAATCAGAGTCTACAGTGGCCACGTGCTTCTCCCCTGGACACGGAAGGGTCACAGCAACTGCCTTATTGCCGAGCTTTTCCAGTTCCAGGGCTGGCCAACTTTCTTCACCGCTGTTCCTGTCTTTGGCAGCAAACACTAATCTCCTATCACAGATTTTTAGATTACTCATTCTCTACAAATCCTTTTGTGTTTAGAGAAGAGCTTCCCGGGCTAATTGAGCTTCAACCTATAGCCTCTCCCCAGCCTGCGGTGGTTGGAAACAGGCCCCGGGCGAGTCTGATCCTGTCCAGGTTTGGGGAGAACCTCACCTGCTCATGGTTCTGCTTGAGGGAGAGCAGCTCCTCCTTCAGGGACTCCACCTGGGCCTCCAGGTCAGACTTGCACAGGGTCAGCTCATCCAGGATCCTGCGCAGGCCGTTGATGTCGGACTCCACCAGCTGCCTCAGGGACAGCTCTGTCTCATACCTGTGATCGCAGGGAGATTACAGATAGGCTGAGCAGGAACATGCCCAGCCTTGACTCTGCTTTGATTTGGTTTGTCAGATAAGCAGGAATTCGAGTTGATAGTTTTCTTTTTAAACTTATGATAAAAAAAATAAGTAAAAATAAAAAGTTTGATAAAGATGATGTACAGAAGGGTTACAGTTACACACGTCAGGTGGACAATGTCACCCTTTCTCTCATTCTCTCCCAGCTTTTCCCTCCCATCCCCACCCACAGGTTGCAGCGTTCATTTTCAACATGATATCCAGTAAGTACCACTGCTGCATTTGTTCACCCTTTGTCCTCCATCTTTGTGCCCTCCTCATCCTCCCAAAGAGAGATAAAGGAACAAACAAGACAACAAGAAAATAAAGTAAAAATATCAACAAAGAAAAGAAAAAAACCTCTTGTTTCCATTTCCTAGGGTTCATTTCAATAAATACTATTTGGATGTGCAGAGCACATAGGCATTGCGCCTAAGGAGTTGGTAGCTTTTAAGACCACCTCTTTCCAGGCAGGTGTACAACACTTAGTAACTGGTCCTAGAGGAAAATGTTACTGGTCATTGTTTTTACAAAGAGCCAGTAGAGTTAAGGCTGATTAACTGTGATGTTTCTAAGATGAATACATTTCCCACATTCTCCTGAATGAATCCTTCACATAGTAAGACATGAGTGAGCACTATGCAGCCTTCATTGAGGCTCAGGGTGACCAAGGGATGTCACCCTAAAATGAAGTCAGGGAAGAGAAAGGAATGAGGCCTAGCAGAGGGATCTCGGAGCTACAGTGAGCAAGATCAATATGGACCTCATGGAAAGGCTGAGAGAGAAGCCAGGTCAACGTTTATCAGTGTTGACAGAAGGCTGAGGATAGACAGAGAGGAGAAAACAGGTAAATATCACCACCCCACTTGCTACTCACTTTGTTCTGAAGTCATCTGAGGCCAGCTTGGCATTGTCGATCTGGACTACCAGCCTGGCATTCTCAGACTTGCTGCACAGGATCTAAAAAGCCCCAAAACATAGAGAATGAACAAGAGCTTTGATTTTTTTTTTTTGCCAAAAGGCAATCCATGCTAATCCACATATATGGAAGGATCAAAATGACAAATCATGTCGTAGCTTATATAATAAGATTATCAAGTGCTATTTGTGTATGGCATGTACTCAGCAAATATTTGAGAAACTAAATTTGCAAAAACAGATCACTGAGATATTCAAGGAAAGGATGAGCAGATAAATGATCATACTTTGTTTCCTTTTCCTAATAAGCAATACTAAGAAGCTGGTGGTATTAATTCACATTTATTTGTGTGGGGATGAGGGGAGGCGGTGCCAGTCCTGAGGCTTGAACTCAGGGACTGGATACTGTCCCTTGAGCATTTTTTGCTCAAAGCTAGCACTGTACTATTTCCAGTGTTTTTGGTGGTTAATTGAGGATAAAGAGTCTCTTAGACTTTCCAGCCCAAGCTGGCTTCAAACCATGATTCCCAGAGCTCAGCCTCCTGAGTAGCTACCATTACAGACCTGAACCACCAGTGCCTAGTTTATTCATATTTAGTAATAACATCTGCTCTGTGACTGTCATGGTTCTAGAAGCTGAAAACACAAAAATGAATGAGTACTAGATCCTGGCCTCCAGAAAACTTTCCATCCAGTAGAGAAGATACACAATGTCAATGAGCTAGTGGAGCTATCCCACCATTCTGGGTGGCTTAGGGCCATTTCCACCTAAAGAGCTTCCAGTCTTTCTGGGTTTCGGTGAATATTATATTCCCCCACAGGACACTGCACACCTAGAAGCCCAGAAATATGGAGATCAAGGCAATGGGATGGAGATAAATAGGAATCCAGAGAAAGGCAGTCAACCAGCAGTCAGAGTAGAGTATCCAGATGTACTGCTCAGGGAGACTCGGCTCTTTTCCCTCACCCTAGGGTAATAACTGTAGGGCTTGGCAAATCCAACGTGCCACTGCTTCCTCTTCGAATGATTTTATACCAATACTCAGAACCAACCTAGGTCTGAAAGGGCACAGGCACTGAAGAATTAAAATGGAAGGTCAGTCATCATAACTTCCTCATCATGAGAAAGAGTGCATCATTTCTGAATCCCGTCTCAGGTCCTCGGCCTGCTAGGTTGGAGCCCAACCCCCTCACCTTCTGCTGGAGCTCCTCGATGGTCCGGAAGTAGGACTGGTAGGCGGGACACACCAGTGGGTCCTGCTGCTGGTTCCTCTCCTGGATGCGGCTCTCCAGCTCTGCATTCTCTCGCTCCAGCTGACGCACCTTCTCCAGGTAGCTGGCCAGGCGGTCGTTCAAGAACTGCATGGTCTCCTTCTCACTGCCGTTGAAGGAGCCCTCGCAGAACCAGTTGCAGTTGCCCACATTGGCGGGGATGTTGCAGGCACCGGGCAGGGTGCAGCCGTGGCAGCTGGGAGGAATGCAAGGCCGGGAGGCACAGCTGGTGCGGCAGCTCAGGTTGGACAGGCAGCAGTTGTACGGCATGGTGCTGGAGGGAGCGAGGTGCCTGGATGAACACGGAGTACAAGTTTCCCAAGCCTCAGAGCTGTGGGTCACCTACCTCTGGTGAGCATTTATACTCCTTCCACAGAGGGTGTGGACAGGTAAGACAGTCCTCTTCCTCCACCCCCCTCCCCATCATTTGGTATTGTCAAAGCCCTTCCCCTCCATTTGTTATGAGTTTCTTTTAGAAGAGTCCCTCACCTCATAAAAGATTTTACTCGGGCTTCTCTATAAGTCAGGACTCCTCTTCCATGCTGTGTGTCATGAAGTCAGACCTTCATGGTTGTGACTTCAAAGGGCTGAACTCATGAAAGAAACCCTGACCTTCATTGAATTGGGTTTGGCAGGTCAAGCGACACTGTGGTTGCCCTGACTCTCTGGCATGCCTCTGGCTCTCTTCAGTGCAATTAGAAAAGCAGAGCTCTTGCTGGGATGTCTGTTGGTAGGCCCAACTGCCAAATACCAAAATGCCAAACTAATAGTTCTTAGAAATACTAAATCCTTTCTGGAACTGTTAGACCATGGTTCCTGGGGACCTTGCTTCCTGGTACATCCATGATAATGTCCACTAACTAAATAACAGATAGACACTGGGTTAAGGCTGTGTCCAATGCAGTGTGACTGTACTGTCTTGGACCTATGCTATGATCAGAAAGAACTTGTCCTTGTTGAGAACTTGCATAGGCCCCTGTGGTAATGGACACTCTCACAAATGGGATCTTATCACTCCTCACTACAACTCTTCAAGGCAAATCATATGGCAAATGAAGACATCAAAGGCAGGAGATATTAAGTTGAAGTAGCTAGGAGCCCAACACAGGTCTCTGTTCTTTACCTCACATCATTCTGCTCTGATAAAAATGATCTACCTCCTTCCCTAAGATCTTCTCCTCTCTAAGTTCTCTTTTTAACTTGAGCATAGCATCGTCCTGACTTCTGTGCTTATCTCTCTGTGTTTGATACCCCCTAACAGTTCAGTTCTTTTAGCCCTACCATATAGTGAACTCTCCTGAGTGTGGGGGTCACATGGATGAAGAAATAAACAGGAAGCAAGTTGACAAATGACACATGAGTGGTTTCCATATTGGGGAGAACAGTAATGGAACTGTGCTGGTATGAAGAGACTTGAAAAGAAAGACCCATATGTGTTTCCATCAAGGAGGGTAAGAAAGCTCAACATGGTTGAAGAACTCTGGTAAGCCAGATTGGCTGAGAGGAGAGAGCTATAGGGAAGTGATAGAAAATAAAGCCATCTAGGGAAGACAAAGTCATATGTCAAAAATGCTTAGTGACACACGGTAAGGTAAGGGACTTAGACTTCCCTGGTAGCAGCAGAGCCAAAGTAAGCTTTAACACCTGAATGTGGCAAAACAAAAAGCTGTGTTAGAGACCATTAGACCATTTCACCAAACATATGTTGGTTTTGGAAATAAGAAGGAAATTCTAAAGGCAGAGACCAGAAAGCAAGTTATTATAGTAGGCCAGGCAAGCAGTAATAAGAGGCTAAAAGGAGTTGAGAGCTAAGAGTTCATGAAAGGGATAAGAAGAACAGATTAAAAAAGAAGAAGGACAGACAAGGCTTAAGTGAAGCTGTGAGAGTTTTAGAAATGAATGCAATGGAGGAGCATAAAAACAGTAACAATGGCTGAGCACCGGTGGCTCACACCTATCATCCTAGCTACTCAGGAGGCTGAGATCTGAAGGTCATGGTTTGAAGCTAGCCTAGACAGGAAAGTCTGTGAGACTCCTATGTCCAAGTAATCACCAAAAAGCCAGAAGTGGAGATGTGGCTCAAGTGGTAGAGCACTAATCTTAATCAAAAATATTCAGGGTCATTGCTCAGACCCTGAATTCACACCCCAAGACCAACACACACACACACACAAAGCAGTAAAGAGCTGAGAAAGAAAAAGAAATACCTCTGGGTCATTGCCAAGAATGAAAAAGTAGTTTAAATGAAAAGATGGATTCATGGCATCACAGGAAGGGAGGGAGAGCACATAAAAGAATAGAGACTGGGAGAGCTGCCAGATTGGCCAGTGGCCCATTCAAGGTGAGAAGGGTGTTTCCTGAGTGGACCACAGAGTTATCAGGACCCTCTGAGGTTCACATGGTTGTGTCTGCTGGACACTACACCTGTGTTCTCAAAGGTATGCCTGCCCTGAACTTCGGTAAACTGAAACGTGAAACCCGCAGAGTTAACATGTTTATTACTTACAAGAAATTCTGTGTCACAATCCATCTTGACAGCTGATGATAAAGCTGGTGAGCCATTAAACTTTCATGAAATAATTGGAGTGTGCTTGAAACAGTTTAGAAACGCTCAGCTCGTTTGAACTCGATGACTCATAACAGTTTGTCATTTAGGAACAACCGTCCAAGAAGCGTAAGCAATCTGTTCTGTCCATTCCTATGAAATGACTTCAGCTTTGTTGTAAAACACAAAGTGAGTCCCCTTTATCTTAGAGAGATTGTCTTTTAGGTCAAGCATCTACAGATGGGAAAACAACGTGTGAACTTTGTTCTTCCAAATTTGTCTTACTTTGCTTAATATGATGGTTTCCAGATCCATCCAGCTTATTGAGATTGATTTGAGGGGAAGTAGGGAGGTGATGGAACAGGATGAGTCTGATCAAGGAACATTACATGCATATGTGGACATGTCAAAATGTGGACATCCCTGTACAATGAATTGATGCTAATAGAATTTTTTAAAATTAATTTTTTAAAAGCAAAGACTCATGGCAGGAACTCTCCATGAGAGTTTGCGTAAGTTATTTCCCCTTTAGAAGTAAAAGCTGTCTTAGCTATTTCTCAAACTGAATCAACTGAAAAATCTAAGCCCCTCAAAAGACTTGGGGGAGCCAGGTACAAGTGGCTCACACTTGTGATCCTAGCTACTTAGGAAACCGAGATCTAAGGATCACAGTTTGAAGCCAGCCTGGGGAAGGAAAGGCCAAGAGACTCCAATAAACTACTCAGAAAAAGCCTGAAATGGCACTGTGGCTCAAGTGGTAGTGCTGACCATGAGAAAACGAAGCTTGGGGCAGAGCCCAAGGCCAGAATTCAAGCCCCAGACCTAGCAAAAACAGAAAGAAAAAAAAAGACTTGGGGAAGAGGTAGACTGGAAAAATGAAGGATTCTTATTGTTATAGGAAGATTTTTTAAAACTGAACTACTTGTTAGTAGGCTCTAAAATTAATAGTAGTAAAATTCTCCTTAGAGTTTGCTAAACTGATCTGTATTATCAAATTCTGTAGATTGAATTCATAGGGGTGAAGAACCCCTCCGCCCCAGCTACATGATAAGTTGCCAGCCACATAAGGAAGTAACTGAGGCTGAAAAAGGAGAAGACACAAGAAACAGGAGACCAGAGCTAAGAATCTTAAATAAGTATGTTTAAAGAGATGATAGGAAACCAAGACCTTATAAAAAGATGGTTGTTTTATAAAAAGAATAAATGTATTAATGAAAAAGCAGAACTTCTAGAAATGGGAAATACAGGTTAAGGTATAAGTTTTAAGAATGTGTCTCTTGTCATTTTAAAGGTTCAAGATTTTCTTTTGAAACATGTTGTCTCTCATCTCAGCTACTACTAAACTAACAGAATTATAATTAACACAAAGTCCTAGTTCCCATAATCCTACAGGACATTCTTTTTTAAAAATAATTTTTACTGAGATTAAGTGATTACATAAATTTTACAAATTTCACAGTATTGTGAAATAGTGATACTTAAAATCACAAACACATTCTAACCTTCATGAGGCAAATTGTGATTATCGTGGTCTATAAAGTTTATGAATTCTATGAGCTTTGACAATACAGCTATCTCTTCCACATCAGGTGGTATGTACCTTTCCTTTTTTTGCCTAATGTTAGCTGTTATCTCTGTCCTTTTTATTCCCTTCCTCTCATCACTGCCCTTGAGTGGCTTAGTTCCTTTTCATCAATGTCCTGTGCAGCGGATGGGCCCCTCTGTCCTACAGGACATTCTTAGGAGACTAATACCTCTCCCATTGATTAGGCTACAGCAATTATTTAATTGTCATATGTTTTCCTTAGCCTGATTTTATTTATATTTCTTCCACAAAGTTTCACAGATAGAATTGTAGGAATCAATAACTTGGGGTGGGGGGAGGTTGTTTTATTTTTTCATCAAATAAAACAAAATCACTGATTAAATTAAGTAGATCTCCAAATATGTTTGGAGAAGGAAGGGAGCTAGGGGTTGATATTCATTTTGTTGGTTTTCAAGTGGAATATTGCATTGTTTTCATTTCTTTTACAAGATCTATATTTCTTCATTGTTCTCCTTTTATGTGTTCAATCATTTTATGTATCAAGTTGTTAAACCAAATTATTGTTACCTGTAGTAGCATAAGGAAAGAATTACCAATAATAGAAATAGACCAATAACAGGCTTTCAAAATTAAACACAAAATCCAAATGTTAATTGTATAACATTTTCAAGATACTGAAGGAAAATAGGTAACAACCTGAAACTCTTTACCAACTACACTCTCATTTATGAGTGACCATTATTCTCATATAATAACAGAGAATTTATTACATGGATTTCATAAGAACTACTGGAGAATGTGTTTCTGAAACAGGTGATTAAAACCAGAAATGAGAAATAAAATAAAGGTAGCAGTTTTATAAGCAAATGAATGTATGTGTGTAGATAATTCTAAACAATAATAATAACAATAGCCAAATTTTAGATTACAAAAAGATAGTGCTTAACAACATAATACAGGGCTGAGAATGTGGCTGAGAGGTAGAGTGCTTGCCTAGCATGCATGAAGCCCCAGGTTTGATTCCTCAGTACCACATAAACAGAAAAAACTTAAAGTGGTGCTGTGGCTCAAGTGGTAGAGCACTAGCCTTGAGCCAAAGAAGCTCAGAGACAGTGACCAGGCCCTGAGTTCAAGCCCCATGACAGGCCAAAAGAACATAATACAAACCAGAGGAGAAAAGGA